TTTATTAGAAAATTTATTTAGAAATAAAATAATACCTTCTTCTGATTCTTCTATTTTTCTTGAATTCTAATATTATAAATTAATTTTGTAATATTAATGTTAAAAATGTTATACCTAACGTCTTAATATGATTTTACAGAATAGCTAAAAATATTATTAGAAATGATTTCCTGCTAATAAAATTTAAAAGTAAAAGCAACAAGAGTCGCGTAACTAACATTTATTAGAAAAAAGTCGATCCCCTATTATAAGATAGGCTTCTAATATGCGATAGCGAGGTTTCTGCTAAACTAATAACTAATAAGTTCTATCTGTTGGTTCCATCATGAACTTATTGCTTTTAAAGTAAAACCTATTTAGTGGAAAATTCATTATTCCATCATGCGTGCACTTGTTGCGGACATTTTTCAATTCTGCCCACAGACTTCCGAGTTCCGGCAATCACGCAAAATAGATGTGGTATCTCATAATAGGGGACTTTCCTCTATATATTTTGCATTCTTTTTCTCTTAAAATAAACTCTTGCTCGTGGCAGAGGACTTATCTAACTATGCGGCACATATTATAGCTTCGGCGAAAGGTGAATATCGTTTGAACAACTTACGAGTCAACGCGTGTAATCCTCCGGCTCTTTAATTAAGATGGTCTTCGACGATCGACGAGAAATAAAAAGGCGCGCGGTGGCGGCCGTGCGGCCGCAGCGCAATTTCTGTCGCCCTAACGGTACTGGCGAATTCGTCGACGGAATCGCAAAATTCGATCTCCCGTGCCTTCCCTCCCTCCCTCCCTCCCTCCTTGTATCGGCCTGATTTACGAGGCCACCGCGAAAACCCTCTCGTTCATTTCTGTCACTCAACCCGTCCAATTTACCGCGCAATTTTCGACATATATAACTGCGCGGATAGGATCTATGGTAGGATCTACCAGTGACTGACGTTCCTCGTTCTCCTCCAAATTGTGCAAATCATGTTTTGCGAATTGAGAACACAGAAATCTCATGGTCGCGGAGTAAAACTTCAATTTCAACTATTTCAAATTCTAAAATATCGAGTAAATTCATGAATGCGAAGCGATATACCTTACTTTCGAATTTTAAACATTACGTGAATCTGATTCCAGTGGAATATAAATCGACTTTTCCCTAATACACATTGCACTATAAATTTTACTTTAACGTAATAAGCTGAATTTGAAATATAACATCTATATAATAGTCCGTTAAGATAAAAAGAAGAGTCTCTGCTCCGATATCAGTATGTGGCTATAAAAACGTGCAGAGCTAAAGAATTTCGTTGAGTACAGCTCGGGATCTGCTCAGATCGTAGTGTAAATCATTTTAAACTCCACGATAAAGTCCGCGCCACGTTCATCGCGTTTATTCTGTTCGCGCGGCAACGTAAACGTAATTTACCGCTTTGCCATTCTTTCCACGGACGGGCCCTATTGCGCTGCACCATTTCCTGCTTCCCGACGAAATTAGCATAGAGAGATCGACGCTGGAAAAGGCGAGGAACGGTCGCGGCAAATGGTATCGAGGGAACGATGTGTCGCAATGGCGCTTTCGTGAAACCGCACGGCAGATTCGCTCGGTTTCGCTTTATCGGTACGTCGGAATAATTTTATATAGTTCAGAGACGACGCAATAAGCCCTCGCAAAGTAGATCGTGCATTTAGACAACGCAAGACCGCTACGAAGCGTCCATGTGAAACGTCTTACATCTTATTTATGCCTTTTCCCCTCGCTATATTACGGATCGGATATCTCTACAAGACGATTTCTGCCTTTGCGAGAAATGCGACGGTGGTCTAAGCAATCTTTATATTAAATTGTTTCGACTTGTCAAAAAATATTTCTTAAAAAACAGTTTGATGCGTTATCTGTTTATAGATACAATTTTTTTGTCTTATCTTATGTAAGCTACAGTTTTATTTTTTTTTTGTTATGTTATGAATTCTTTATATTACGCGAACGGCCCCCTTCTTGCGTTTTATTAGATACTCTTAAAAATAAGCTATTTTATAAATTTCTTTAAAAGATACAGCCGCGTAATAATAAATCATATATAAAAACATCAACAACATGACAGGTATCAATTATATGCAATATACACGAATACAATCGCGTGTTACATTAAAGAGTTACATTACATTGAAGAGAAAACGTAGTTGAAAATAACAAAGCTAATTCTCGCACAGCTCATCATGCAAAATAAGAGCCTCTCTTGCAAGATTTTATCCTTATCATCATGAATATTCTTTCCGATGGCACCGTTCGGTTACGGAGTATTATTACGGAGTATACCAAGCATAATGTGAAAGACGGTGTAATGCACACGTGCTGCTTTCGGATAAAAATAAACGAGATATACAGAGTGCCCTAGATCTGAATGATACATTTCTTAGTCAGTAAATCGATTTCTTTTTAACAGAAATATCGCAAACAATCTTAAAATTATGAACAATTAAAAATGAAGACCGAAAGGAGAACTCTTTTTTTCAAATGAAAAATAAAATTGATGTTAATCCATTTAATAGTAAATTGAGAGATTTATAATTTCAGAAATTTAAAAATCAACAAAATATTTAAAAATTTGGGAACTCGTCACAAATGGTATCGACTCCAAAATCAGAACTAAGACGTTTTGTATATGCATATTCCTCTTCGCCGATTTTCGCTATATCATAATAAGATTCTCGGAAGCATTAGATCCGCCCTGTTAAGTTTCGCCAATATATCAAGATAATTTTACCGAGCGAAGGGGCAAACGCGAGTAGACCCTCGATCATCTGCGGTGCTAGAGTGTACCGAGAGAGAAGATTTAATACACGCGACCGTGTGTACTTACTCCGATAACTGTGTTTAGCTGTGTGTGCTTGCATTCTTCGCAATTAGCTCGAGGGAAGGAGGACACGCCGATGCGACGGTTCATTGCAGCCGCAGTTTGAATTAGATAAAGCCTTGTCGCCTATACTTTAGCTCTTTTGATCTCTAAACCGTAAATTATTCGACATGAGACTCTTGCTTTATCTATAGTGCGAAACTTGATATATAATTTTGAGAATTCGTACAAAGAATATTTCTTGGAACAGAGATTCGCAGCGAATTATGTTAAATCTTTCGCAATCAATCTTCTTTCCTACGAAGTCTATGAATCCCGTTGACGATGAAAAAAGGGTTAAAGGAAAACAGTTTACTATAATAAATGTGTTTCGACAAATAATTCAACATGCATTTATAACATTTAACACGCTCGACAATTATTTAAGATTTGAGATAAGAGGTTATAGAAATTTTGAAATTAATTTAATATATGATTTGAATATTATTTAAAAACATATTATATTGATCGCAATTTAAGATATAAAAAAAGATAATCTTTATATATAGATGACAGATGAAATAAAGAACATATTCGAAATGGCACGCGATTGTCAGAATTATTAATGTTTCCTCATACGCATGTTTTCTGCGTAAATACCATCATCGTCCGCAAGAAGCTGATACATTATCGAGATAGATATAACAATGCGTAACGCCGTTTTGCGTGTATAATCATTACGCGCGTATGTTTCCCTTAAAAGTCCCGGGACTCTTCTGACGATGAACGCACTCTGTAATTTTGTACTTTATAATTACGATTATACCGTGCCTCGTAAAAGTTTTATACTTTCGACCGCCATACCTAGACTCTTGAAACATAATGCTGATGAATGTATAACACACTTTATGCGATCCTCCACAAACTAGGACAATTAATTTTCCTTTAACAAATCTGATTTTATATGTCAGATATAATGGAGAAAAAATTATTTTATGTTATAAGAAAGCGGCAAAATTATCAACGCACATAATATTTTTAAAAAATATTTAATTTTTACAAAAATGTAATTTTATCTTAAAAGGAAATTAATTCTGAAATCATTCTAAATGTACATGATACAGTTTTTATACTATTTAACATTATAATAATTTTTCATTTCATTGGACACACGTAGATTTCTTTGCAAATAATCAAATATGATAAATATATATACGGTTTAGAGAACCTTAAAGCATTTTCAGAAGTGGATAACAGAGGTCTGTTATGTTTACCCAAGATCTTATTAAGTGAATCTTCGGAATCTGTTACCGATAGAGCTCTAAACTCTCGATCTCCTCGTAAATCTCGCTCTTAAACGCAGCTTTGTGGAACGGCGCAACGTGTAATTATTGCATAATTATCAAGTCAAAAATCGTTTAGAGACTATGGGTGACGTGAGAGACTGTGCGGAAGTGGCTAATTAACACTCGTTGCTTGCTCGAACAAACCGGTGCGTCCGGCCGATTATTTGAAGATCGTCGACCGACGATCCCGCGATTTTAAGTACCGCGATGTGATTTATATCGCGAGTAGTTTATTATTAAATATCCTACTATCGAATCAGTGAGCGTATATCTCACATCGTTTCGCGAACACGCTTCGACTCATTATGATAAAGCGATGTTGCAGTGGGGTGATTCATATCAATATGCATAATTTCAATATTAATTTTCTTCATGGTAACTTACGTTACCTATAAAATCTCCACAGCAAAAAAGGTTTATGTAAACACATTTATATATAAAAAATAAAATTACGTGAACTTTTTTATCTAATCTTATTAAAATTATCTTGAACAGATCTGAACTTTTCGTACTAAAACCGGAAAAGAATATCTTTAAAGTTTTAGTTTTTAGATAAGAAATACTTGTATAGTTGTATTGTATAGTTTTATTGCTCACTATCGCTAGTGAAATATCTAATAGATATTGACGTATAAAACCACTTCAGATTGGATGAACTACTTTATATAAATCAACATCAATCATAGTAACGTGATAATCTACACGATGTTCAGCACAATTATGCTAAACAATACGCATCTTGTATCACATATTTAATTTATCGAACCGACGAGTATCGGCGCAATAGAAGACCTGTGTAGGTATTTGAATAAACCGGAAAGACTCGTTTGTCTACCTGAGTGTACTCCGCAGTCGATATCGGCGTCCTCGAAGACGGACGACTCGATGCATTCATCATCGGCGACAGCGGGATCCTCGGTGGTTTCTTCGTTCTTGAATCTATCGTTACCCGCACGAACGTCCGGTTTCTCGACGGTGCAAGGACTATCGACGGACGCGTGCCTTCCAAGACGCACCAGCGTGCTGTTGCTCCTCGCCAGCTTCGTGCTGTGAGTCCTACGGATCAGGAGATTCGTGAGAGTCGTGTTCTGCTTGATCCTGGGCTCCTGATGGCTGATCCTATGATCGCGGCTGGACCCGGCTGACTTCGGGACCGAGTCGACGACGATTCTCGTCGCGGGTTTCTCCTCGGCGTTTGCCTTCTTCCTGCATCCGGCATCATTATCCACTTCGAAGCAAGCGATAGTGTTGTTCAGACGACTATCCTTCCTGCTGCTGGAGTCTTTCCTCCCGGTGAATCGACTTTGGAATCGCTCGATGGTCTTGAACGATCTCGTTCTCTCGACCTTCTTCCTCTGCTCCACCTGACCGCTGGACGTCGCGGGCGTTCGCTCGCACTTGGACGCCTCGAAGATTCTCGTCAACGACTGCACCTTCCCCCTCACTTCGGGTAACGTCTCGTCCGCGTTTCTCCTTGCGCTCGACGTAAAGCCGTCGTTGTTGCTCAAGGTGCGCGTGAGCGACCCGGTCGTCGGCGTCTTCGACGTGCTGCCGATGGGGAAGGTGTTGCAGGCGAATTTCTCGCAACTGCCATCCGTTGAATGGCCCTTCGTCAGTTTGGCGATCGGCTGCCGCGTCGGCTCGCTGCCGTCCAACGGCACGTAGAACGTGGACCGCCGCTTCGGCGATTCCTCGGGATTCTCAGCGGTCAGCATGTCTTCGCATTTCTCGAATCTCCTCGGAGCGATGTGGGATTCAGCTGCGTCAAGTTCACGACGTTGTCGCGTCACGCGAGGCAAATTGTATTACTCGACCGGACGTCGCTCTAGAAATCCGACTGTCCTGAGCTATCACGCCTACTTGGTATGGTCGAATTATCGGTGCGTTCCGGTTTCTTTTCACACGCGTCGAGAGGAGATCGACGCTGAATTTTCAGTCGAGCGTTGTGCTTTTTTATCCGTCACGTCTGCTTTATCTCGTTGTTCGTAGTAACGCTACACGCACCGCGACGATTCCCTCTTTGAGATCGGCTTTGACTCGCTCTCCGATTCCGCGCTACTGCATTTTTGCGTATCGGGTGTCTTTACGGCGCAATATCGAGGACACGCCGTCAAGATCCTGGCAACACCGCGGGAACTTGTAGAGCCTCCACCCTCGGAGTCGCGGATTAACTCGAGAATCGCGTACGATCTTCAGGGTCGATAATAACAATGATTACATCTCTTCTTCTTCTCTCTTTTTCGCTTGAAATCGGAATTTTTCGTGACGGCTCTTTCGAGAGACCGTCGCGTCGACTTGTCCCTTCGGAATATTTCTCCGTCGCTTTCTCCCTCTCGACACCCGCGCTAAATATAGACTATT